CATGCTCTACACAGTCTACTGAATTCAGTCGGATTTGCAACCCTCTCATTATCACCTCTTTGCTGGTGGACCTTCGTGAAACATGTTGCCACTTACATTTTTGTCATGTTTTTGTTAGTCCTTTCTTGCCATACATTTCCAGGTGTTTGTACTGTATGTCTCCATCGAGTTAATGTGTTCTTTTCAATTATTTACATGTATCTTTACATCCAAAATTGATTTAGTTTAATCTATTCTTCTTTAATGTGTGCTTGCAAACGTTTCTTAAGAGACTGATGTCAAATATAGCCTGTTGTGCTTTTTGAGCTTTTTTATATTCATTTTTATAAAACGGACAAGTCAAATCAAGCAATCTGATTGGTTCTTAGCCGTGATATACTGAGCGTATACCATGGGTAGAATTGTAAGTTACTTTTCACAACAGTATACCGATGGGCTGTCGAGGGGGTTGTCGACCCTCCGCTTCGCGTCGGGCCGAACCACGCCCCTTAGCTGTGATATAATGAGCGTATACCACGGCCTGTCGTGAGCTATTGCTTAAATATTCCGTATTCCACCTCCTGCTGGCATATTGAGGTACATATAGCAGTAGAAAGGCTTTGCAAACCATCTATGCAAAGATGCCACCCCCTACTCCCTATTTATCCAGGAAACAGCAGGCATACTCCTTTTTTAGCAACACCCTGTTTTACATTCACAGTGATGCCTCATCCTCTATCATTTAGCCATGATCACATGGTCCAATTAGAGTTAGATCAGTGAGGAGAAGGAGATGCTGCCTCTCCAAATGGTTCTGTGAAATTGGCCTCACCTCATATTTTCCCACACGCAACAGGAGCAGTCGACAGGGAAATGTTGTCTGTTTTGTCACCATTCAACTTATTGTTATCTTCTGGCACGATTCACTCTTTCATGCTGGTGTTTTTCTCGAATCTGTCAGTCCGTCAGAGTGGAACCACTTTACACACACAGACACATCGCATCCCTGCATCACAATAAGGGGCACTGAATCTCCACTGATAATGAAAATTGGTCTGTCTAATAATAATATGTATTCTAAAATGTCCCATTCAACAGTTTTATCAGCCCTTCCATCATCAGTAGTTATTGAATGACTTGTTTGTACCAATTATGTTACAGTTCATGTTTGTATTGCCAATTGTGTAATTATTGTTTTCTGTGCTGACATTTGATCGACCCTTGTCACAAACTGACATTTTATTTCTATTAACCTGCAGTAACTCAATATCATGTTTTGAAAAGTTATCCATCTCCATCTGCTCCTGTTTCAGCGTTCCATCTGATACAGCACATCTGATTGGCTGACATATGTATACTTATTTTTTTATTATCCTCTGTTTTGGGCAGCCCGTTATTCATTCTAACACTTAATTGGTGCTACAACTGTCAAATGTTTAAACAGATTCACAAACCCACGCATTTCCCAGGAGAATTGGAGTAAAGAGTTTAATAGTGAGCTTCCCAAAGTGAATATCCCATTCATTTTTTGAAATAAAGATAGATAGATAGATAGATAGATAGATAGATAGATAGTAAAAATAAACACAACACACAATAGTGGGATGTAACAGAAAGGTCTCTGATTCGCAGAGCTTGTTGTTACCATAGAAATGTGTACCACACCCATGAACAGCTAGTGAGCGCACCATGGTGTCAACATTGACTACTCTCATGGAAGCTTGTTTGGAATGTTCTTGTATTATGAAAATGGGATGGTTAATTCCTTCAGTCTTGAACTAATTATGAATACAGCTTTGTATTTTTGCCTTTCTTTCAGTTTGTCTTTTTCTTTCCCTGAATCAAATAATTAGTTGATAGCGATTCCTCTCATATTTGATTGGCTTGGTTTCAAACTCTTCATGTACCGATTTCCCGAAACGTCTACTGAATAATGAATGGGAAATTCACACTTTGAACTGGAGCCAATCAAAAAAAGAGGCAGTCACTATTGAGCTGTATAGCTTTGGTACAGTCTGCAATTTTTTAATCCAAGCTGCACATTTTAAAACAATCTCATGCTTCCCTCTTGATTGGCCGTAATGACCCATAGGCTACACTCATATGATTGGTCCAGCTGCTAACCCACCATGACCCCTCCACCTTTCCTGTGTTGTTGCATTTGGTCTATTGGATGTTTTACTGACCTATGGGGTGGTTGTCTCCCCAGGGCTCTTCTTCCCCGAACAACAAGGCATCAGACCCCTCCAACCCCGCTCCCAAGGCTAAAGTGAGTCCCTACCATCGACACCTTCACACACCTCACACAGAAGTACCTCGTCCCATCTTCTCTTTGCATTCACCACATACACGCATGTGTGTGTACGACAGAGTGGAAACTGAATTTCCCCCTTGGGGGATTAATAAAGGTCCATCTTCTCTTCTCTTCTTCTACAGTTAGCGAAAGAGCTAACTAGCTAAATGTAGCTACGCTCAGTTAACATGAACTATGTGTTGGCGTCTTTGATTCATTTTTTTAAAGTATGAAACTATTGCAAGGTGCTTCTTTACAACTCAGAATACTCTTATTATACTATTTCTAAAACGATTAATGTGAAAACAATGCTACTAAGAATTTTAAGCAGCTGTGTCATTGGGCGTCGCTAAGTGTTTCTGGGAGCTTATAGCCAGCCTGCTGCTTACACTGCAACGATTAACAACGTGGTAACCAGAGACACATTCACAGGACTATCGCTTTAATTAGGACACCAATGGACAAATATATTGCCATCCGAAAAATATTTTGCTACTATCATCTCAACATTTGGTGTGTTTTCTTCTATCTTAACTCTACAATTCCTCTTGTACTAGCAACGTGCCTCACACTAACCTCACACAAACTGTCTTCCAATACCATCAATATTCTACAATATATATCAGGACTTTATAAAGGACACCCTGGTGTGTAATATTTTTACAAGATACTACTACGACACACCAACACAGTCTCACAGCATTTCGTGTTATAGTCACGATATTAATCTATTGATTCGTGTTCACCAACACAATTTCGCCATTTTTTTCGTGTCACACAGAATGATTTTAAAAGCAATGTAAATAATCACAAATTAGAAGGAAAAACAGATTTAAAAAAAAACAGATTTCAGTATTCTGACACAGAACGATTTTAGAAGCAATGTATTTCTATTGGTAACTACATGTTTCGTGCCTGCACCAAATAATAACAAATTAGAAGGAAAGAAATATGACAAAAAATACAGATTTCAGTATTCTGTGGCTCTGAGCCATTTCTTTTC